ACCGGCGGTCGCCTCCAGGGCACGTGTCGCGCCCAGCAGGGGAGGTGCCCGCCCGCTTGTCCCTGGCAGGGGCGTGCCGTCGCACTGGCGGGAGGGCTGGTGCATATGCAAGCCTGAGTGCAGGCGGGATTGCTTGGACGCGGCCGCGGCGGCCGCGAGCACCCACCACAAAAGGTTCCATCCACGGCTGCCCAGAGGCGAGGATGCCTCTCAGAACAGGCGCCGACACGGTCGCCGCCTTCGGCGTGATCGGCGCCTCTAGCAGCAGCGTGTCGGGCACCACGTTCGAGAGCTTGGACAGCGCGTGCAGCTCTGTCGCCGCCGCAGCGCGTGCTGAGGGCGCTGCGGCGCGGCACACGAGCGGGGCGCGGCTCGCAAACCCCGCCCGCCGCGCCGCGGGATGCTGTGCGCCCCCGCGCTGCAATACGTCAGGTCGACCTTGCATGGCTTCGGAGCGTGCGCTCAGCGGGACTCGCAAGGGAGATGGTGACGCAGTAAAAGAAGATCTCTGTGGCTGACGCGACGTTTAAAATATAGCGCGCAATGTTACGAGTTTATGCGACTGCACACGCCTTGGCCCTATGCTCGCGGTGTTGTTGCTGGTGTGCCGTTGTGACGAGAGTGAGACTCCAAGTCAGCACCGCGTTGCTGTGCATATTTGAACAAGATGTGATAGCAACAAAGGAGCACCAGATTCCAGGCAGGTGCCACATTTTCTTGCTTGGCTCGCTGCCTATGTCACTCATTAGTCACCTGAGACCTTACTGAGCACGAGCACCTTTGAGAAAGCTCATGCGCTCCTGTGCTGGACAGCATGCACCCAATAAGCACACGGTATTCTACAAGCCAACATTGGTTTGTGATACAATTGAGCAAACTTTTTCACAAAACCATCTAACAGCTGTTTCAGAGCGGAGGTCAAACACACAGTCAACAAGTGAGGATGGCCACACTTGAGAAGGCAGGGTTCCGCGAGTGCCCCTGAGTCAGCCCTGGTCCGCACGCAGAGGTCCTTGGAAGCAAAATGCGTTCTTCGGAAGCAAAATGCTTTCTTCGGACACTCGAGTGCTGCCTGGCGCGCCACCCTGCAATACCTGGCACTGCCCTGCCCTCCAGATGAGCAGTCCCTGCCAGGCGAGTTCTACTGCTCTTCGTCCAACGTCCTCGCCGAGCGCAGTCGTAAAGGGCCAGGGAGGTCTGAGAGAAGGGCGCACATCAAAAACCGACCGGGTCCGGGCTGGCACAGCGCCCCGCATTGGCTTGACGGCCACCAACCATGCAAGCGCCACCCAAATCGCAGAGCGCTCAACTTCCAGGCAGACATCCCAAAATAAAAAGAGTCAACCTGCGCGTGCCGTGTGTCAACCTGAGCTTGGGGCTTGGGTGATTTCATCCTGTGCATGCCGCGCATCCCCATTCCCCCTAAGCATACCATTTCAGTCTGCTCAAGGTTGGTGCAGTCACACGCGAGTGTGGTTCACACCGTTCAGCCAAAATCTGGCTGGCATTGAAACTGGAGACGGCTCGAGGTGTTGGCGTGGCGCCCGTCACTGCGGATCAGGTAACGGCCGCCATGTGGGTGCGGCTTGTACCGCATTGGCAGCGGCATGACCTGCAGCCTTACCCAATATCAGGTCCTGAAAACTGTCAAGAGGCTACAGTGGCGTCTTTGCGGTGCGCCAATCGCCTCGAATGCCAGATTTGCGATTTGCGAACCGGGCAGCTGCTGACCGTCACCCCGCCACCCGGCCCCGCCGAGGCATCAATGCCTTGCATGAAGAGTGAGCGCTGGTGTACAATGTACCAGTGATCTGTGAAGTTGAAGCAACCGGGCGCGGATCCCCTGCCGCCAACACTCGGACTTGATCAGCAACTCGTTTCGGCAAGAAGTGGGGTTCACCAGGCAGTATGGGAACCGGAAGAGACAAGGTATAGTAACCGAGACATGGCGTGCATCTGCAGCTGCCCAAGCAGCCGCGTGTGCGCCGTGCGGCCGCGGCTGCCGCGTGCGCACACCGTCCGATCCCGCTGCTCGCCGCGAGCCGCCTCGTCACCAGCCGCCCGCAGAGGGCCCGATGCACGCCCACATACGCAACCACTGCAGCGTAAGAAGGCAAAGGACAAAAAGGGGGAGCTCACGAGCGGCGTGGGCGCCGTCAAGACAGAGCGCAAGACGTCCCGGAACGAGCTCAAGGCTGAGCGGCGTGCTGAGCGTGCTCTGGAAGGTGAGGGGGCACCCGCGCCAAGTCGTGCGCCCGCGACGCCAGTCTGCACAACCTTGAATGTCCAAACAGAAGGCATGGCGGCTCGCCCAGCGGCCGGCTGCGGCTGCGGCTGCGGCCGCAGCTGCAGCTGCAGCTGCGGCGCTTGAGAGCGAGGTCCCCCATGCGTGCGCCCGCATATCCGCCCCATGCGCGAGGCTGCCGCACGTGCGTGCCTTGGTACCATTGGGGGCTCGGGTCCCCGCGCCGACCTGCAGCAGCGGCTCAGCCCCCGCCCCCTCGGCGGCGGCCGGCCCGCGGTGCGTCCGCATGCGACACGCCGGGCTGCGCTTCGCGACCCTCAGCGCCACGCGAGCGCACCCGCGTGCCGCGTGCCGCCCGCTGCACGCCACCAGGTGACGAGGACAACATAGATGCGTTGCTGGCGCAGTTTGCTCTGCAGGTGGGCCTTGGCATCACATCAGGGGCTTCTTCCAGGGGGCATTGGTTGCAACGGTTCAGCAACCGGTCAAATCGCCAAATTTAGCAGGGGATGATGCATCATTGCTGCCGCAAAGGGTTCGGCCGTAAGGGGGTGTGTTTGTTGCACACCCCGAGCCGCATGCGCGCCTGCTGCCTGCGGAGTCGGGTTGTGCGCACGGCATGCAGAGGGGTTGACTGCAGCTGGAAAGCGGATTATTCTCGATGTTGTTTGTAGCCCACGCGAATGCTGCGCGGGGGCGGCCAGCGGCGCGGCACTCAGTCGCGGCGCGTAGACCCGCAAGGGGCTGCCGCGGGCCGTCATGGCGGCGGCCCCGAGCGCGTTCAGCTCGGCGTGCTGTGGCCGGCGGCCGCACTGCGGGATGAATCCTCACGGCTCGTCGTCTTTCGGCAGCCGCCGTCCTGCGCAGGCCTGCGCCAGTTGCTGGTCACTCTGAGCACCACCCCTCCCGGACGGCCGTGGCCCGGCTTGTGCCGCCCTGACCCGCCTCATCCCCCCGACATCCGGTTCTTTGCCGATCATTCCAGCACACCCAACGCAATGCACACCCAACCACCGCGCGCCCTCCCCAGGACAAGGCCAAGAAGGAGGTCGTGATCGAGGCCGACTGCCCGCCGCCGTCGCCGCGCGTCAACGGGTCCCTGGTGCCCTACATAACGCCGGTGTGTGATATGAACACCAAACCTCGACACAGTCTGGTCGTTGCCTTTTGGGGTGGGGGAAAGGCAGAGGTGGTCGAGTACAGACACCTGTCCCGTCTGCTGATAGAAAAGTGTATGCCCCAAAAAAGCATGCGCGTGTGCCTGCGGGGCTGTTGTTTCACACTCCCTGGCATCTGATTTTATCTTCCAAACTGCTGCGACCTACGCCCCTCAGAAATCGTCGGAGCTCATCCTGTTTGGTGGGGAGTACACAGACCTCACCACTGGCAAGGTCAGCCCGCCCGGCCGGCCCGTCGCCGCTGCCCTGTGCTTCCACTACCCCGGGCGCCCTCCGTCCGGCCGGCGGAGTCTGCCGCCGCCCCGCCGCCCTGCAGGCCGCGCGCTGAGCGCTTCCGATGATCTGGGCCCCAGGCAAAGCTCGTCCTCCGATGCCCACTCTCTGGGGGCCCCAGACCACAAATCCTGGACTTTGAACCCTATTACTCCCGCAACCACACACATTAACCTGACCCGAATGTATATGCATTCCATGTCGGCTGCACCTGCCTTGCATGGTCCCCCCCCAAAAGTTGCCCACGTCACAAATACGCAGCGCCAGTCTTCATTGTGTCGCCTTCATTGAGTCGCGTCGACACTCACCACCTCCTGACCCCCATGAATGTTCGCTCTCGATGCCATGCGGCAGCAAACAAGAGAACACGCCGCAGCAAACACCCCTATCACACAAGCCCCCCCCACCAAAAAAGTCCAAAAACCCAAAACAACAACCGCAGGTGCATGTCAACGCTGACCTGTACCGCTTCGATGTCGACAAGGCCAAGTGGACGCGCGTAAAGGCGCCCAGCAGGTGGGCCCGAGGGTGTGCCCTCGTCACCCACTTACACAGAGCGCGGCGCGGGGCAGCGGGCGCGGTTTGAGCGCGGCGCAGGCCTCTTGGAGCCGCTGATCGCCTGTGACGCCGGCAAACGCTGGACTCCCCTTCTCCCAATCATACATACTTGCACGTGTGCATGTGCGTGTGGGCGGCGCACCCCCAGATTGTAAGAGCCCGCACTTGCACCCCCCGCGCCCCGCCCCGCAGCCCGTCCCCTCGTTGCGCCCACCAGGCCGTCGTGTACAAGGGATGCATGTACGTGTTTGGCGGCGAGTTCAGCAGCCCAAACCAGGAGCGCTTCATGCACTTCAGGTGGGGGCGCGCGGCACGCAGCTGCGGGGCAGCTGCCGCGCAAGGATTACCCCAGGGAGCTCGCCGGTCGAGGCCGGCACAGTCGCCCTGCCCCTTCCCCCCCTTCGCGCTTCAAAACCAGCGCCCCGGGCGAGCCAGACCCCTAGGGTCACCCTCCTCCCCCACCCCCCAAAAAACAAAGGGACCTCTGGCGGCTGGACCTGTCGACCCACGAGTGGGACAGCCTGCCCACCCGCGGCGGCCCCAGCGCGCGCAGCGGCCACAGGATGGCGCTGCACAAGAACAAGGCGATCCTGTTCGGCGGCTTCTACGACACGGGCTCGGAAGTCAAGTGGGTGGACTGGACCGGCGGACTGCCGGACTGCCGGACTGCAGTCCGCGGGCTGGCCTGCTGCGGCTGTGTTATGGGGTTTGGGGTTTGAGGGCGCGTCGGGGTTCGAGGCGGCCGAGGGGGGGAGGAAGGCCGCTCCATGCGGCAGGCCGAGTGCGCCGCATGGAGGCAACCCCCCGCCCTCGTCTCCGCAACATGCTGTGCCGCGCGTCATCAAGCCAGCCTCGGTCAATTATTGCGGACCCTCCCGAGGCGGATTTCCGCACGTTCGACTGACACGAAGTTTCAAAAATTCGAACCGCGTGATCTGACAGGTACTACAGCGATCTGTGGGAGCTGGACCTGTCCGAGCTGACCTGGCGCCCCGTCGGCCCCCCGCCCGCGCCGCTCGGCGCGCCGCCGCCGCTCGCGCCCGCGCCGCGCAGCGGCTGCGGGCTCGCGGTGGCTGGGGATGTGATGTATGTGTATGGGGGCTATTCGAAAGAGGGGGACGACGAGGACGATGAGCTGGAGCACGGCCGCGCCCACGACGACATGTGGGCGCTGGATCTTGGCAGCTACACAGTGGGTCGGGGCGCGCGATCTGAGATCTGGGGGCGTGCGTGATCTGGGAGATCTGGGCAGCTCGAACGATCAATGATTCGTGCGGTCTATGAACGTGGCGGGATGCTCGCTCGCTTGCCCACGGCCCCTTTGCCATTCGGTCATTCGTGGCCAACCTTAGGATTTTAGATTCTAGGGTTTATATTCAGGCAATGTGCGCCTTGCAGTGGCCTTCTCAGCTTGGAATGAATTCTGCAAGATGCGGCTCCATGGACCCCCATGAAACACCAATCCAATGGCCCTGGACCCCATCCCCACCCCAACCCCCATTCTGTTCGCCCCACCTCCTCATGACCCCTCCCCAACCCAGTGGGAGCGCGTGAAGAAGCAGGGCATGGCGCCGGGGCCGCGCGCCTCGTTCGGCTGGGCGGTGCACAAGGGGGCACGCGCGTTCCTGTTTGGCGGCGTCAGCGACAACGAGGCCAAGGGGGGGGAGGACCTGTCCAGTGAGTTTCACAACGACCTGTACACATTCTCGTGCACCAACAGGTGGGCTGGTGTGTGTGTGTGTGTGTAGGTTTGCGTGTGTGTATGTTTGTGTGTGCGTGTGTGTTTGTGTGTAGGTTTGTGTGTGTGAAGGTTTGTGTGTGTGTGTGTGTAGGTTTGTGTGTGTAGATTTGTGTGTGTGTGTGTGTGTGTGTGTGTATGCGTGTGTGTGCGCGCGCTGCCCTCTACGCTGTTAGTAGCGAGAGAACCTACGCGTTTCAACACCATGCCGTGAATCGCGTTGTTGGTACGACCCGGGGAGGTGCATGTCGAAAGCGGGATGCATCCTGCAGGACAACTCCCTGTATTCTCCCCAGCGGCAGCCGCCGCTGGTGCCGACCTTTGCCTTACACGCCACTATTAAATCACTTCAGAAGCGAGCCAGAGCTGCCGCGACCACCCAGGCCTTCCTTTAGCCCTGGAGCGAGCGCCCTGAATCCCAGACTCTGACCCAAATTCACTGTGTTTCATCCATCCCCGCGGCCGCTTACGCATCGACTTGTTCCTACATGGGCTCGCCGCTGCAGGCGGTGGTTTGGCGCCGAGCTACGGCCGTCCAAGGCCGCCGCCAAGCAGCAGCAGCAGCAGGAAGAGGCGGCCGCAGCGGTGGGGTCGGGGGAGCCCGGCGGCAGCGGCGGCGGCGGCGGGGCGGGCGCGGCGGCGGGAAGCAGCGGCAGCGGGGCGAGCGGCGGCGCGGCAGCGGGGGACCCAAAAATCGCGGCGCTGCTGGCGGCGGGCAAGGACAAGAACTCGCCCACATACAAGGTGGGTGGGAGCATTGCGATGATCAAGGCAGCCAGTCCCAACCCATGCCGCCACAGAACGAGCGTATTTCGCGGGCCGCATGACGTAGCCGTATGCCTGCGGCCGCCGAGGGGCAGCGGCGGAGCCAGACTCTCGCACGACTAGCGACCGCGAGCCGGCTGTGTGAGCTGAGTGTGCCAACATCATGCTGTATCCCCAGGCTGCCGTGCGGATCCAGAGCCGCTTCCGGGGCTTTGTGGTGCGAAAGGCTTACCAGCTATACAAGGTGGGTTTGACAAGGGGTTGACCAGGGTTTGACCAGCCGTTGACCAGCCGTTGACCAGGTTTTGACAATGGTCTGAGGAGGCTTTTGGCCAGGACGTGGCGTGTGAGCAGCCGTGGGACGTGCGGCTTTGCACTCACCTGCATCCCACAACCTCGCGCCGAGCGCCTTTCTCAGCACATTGGCACGGCTGCAGAATCCGGCAATCCAGGGACGTTGCGCCAGCCCCCCAACAACCCTTGTTGCAACTTTCCACGCCGACCAAACACATTTGACACCTCAAACCCTGTTGCCCCAGGTCGGGGGCGTCGTGAGTGAGCTGCTGTACTCTCCTGCGGCCTACGGCCTGGACATGTCGATACGCAACATGCCCAAGCCGCGCGCACGCATCAGCCCGCAGGTTAGGGGGCCAGGGTTCCGCATCAGCCGCATGCGCATGTGCGCCCGCGTGTGTGTGCAGGTTGCGTGTGGTGTTCTGAGGTGTCAGGGCTGAGCGAAGAGTGTCTCTGGCCTCTTTCATGCAACCGGTGGCGTGGCCTGGGCGGGGGCGGCAAGATGCCCGTGTGAATCAGGGGCAGCAAAGGGAGCAGGGGCGTGTGGGTCGTGCGGCCAAGGCCGCGAAGAGAAGAAAGACCGCAAAAATCGCACTATGTGTGCGCCTTTGCAGCCACGAACCCCTTTTTTACACGGCAGCCTGCTGAGCAACGGTTCAGGGTTCTCGTTCCTTGCCCCCATTTTTTGCAGATCGCCGTGGTGGGCAACGCGATGTGGCTGCTAGGCGGCACCGTAGAGGTGCGCTCCGACCCCTGTTTGAACGCACGGCACCCATCTGTGTTTCACGCACACATGCACGTACGCACGCGGCGGCGCGGCTTGGCGCCCGCGCCGCTTGCATGTCGGTTGTGGGGCCGGGGCGACGATCAGGCGGCACGCGCCTGATCGACGGCCCGCGCAGCCGGCGCTGTTTTGCCTGTGAGCAAGGTGCTGCCTGTCCCAGCATTCCTCTGCAGACAACAGGCAGTTACTCATCCCTTGGGAAGCTGCCCAACCATGCATGCGGCTTGTGATGGTGCACCTTTCACATTTCCCATTCAAAATTTCAAATCGACAGGTGGGCGACAAGGAGATCACCTTGGACGACATGTGGCGCCTCGACCTGCAGAAGCTGGACGGGTGGACCCTCGTGCAGGTGAGATCTGCGACGATCTGTGATATGAGAGATGGTGGGATCCGAATATTTCCAGCAATAGAGGCTCTGTTGTCCCACGAATGGCGGCTCCCTGCGGGGCCGAAAGCCTGAACCCGAACCCCTAAACCCTAAACCCTCCAGGAAAACACGGTGGGGGAGGAGGTGTTCAAGGCAGCCGCGGCGGCGGCGGGCCAGAGCAGCGAGGAGGAGGAGGACGGGTGATGGCACGCGCTGGCCACTCTCAACCCCTGCCCCGTCGGCGCCGCAAGCCGGGCTGCGAGGCTTGAAGGGGGGTCATTGGGCGCGGTCGGTGTTGTGTAACGTACACAAGAACGCTGGCTTCATCAAAACCAAGTAGGATCGGGCAGCTCGGTTGTCCTGCCTCTCATCCCCGCCTCAGTCCAGCCTTTGAGGAGGTGATGGCAGCTGCAGCTCCGCAGTTGTGAGCGCCACAGCGCACCCTCTGGCGTGTCACCCAACCCCCTCCATCACATGGCAGTGTGCTCCAGCCTCTTGCAACCCAAAGATTACGCTGTCAATGGGGCCAATGGCTGGAATCGCAGCAGCAGCAGCGGGCTCTACAGCCCGCAGCCTGGCAGTTGCATCCCCCTTGCTTCCGCCTAAGTGTGCCTGTGCCATGATGCGGCCCCCAACCCAGCTGCAGCTCCAGTCTACCTGCACACACGACCTTGCAGCCCCCTCGCAAAATGGCTCCGCCCCATTTTGTAAGGCCTCCCGCGAACGTGTTCTCACACCAGTGTTTCCGCGGGCCTGCCAAGCAAGCCCCCGCCCACATTCCAGCCCGCGGAGCCTGTGCGGGGCGGGCGCCTGCCCGCCGTGCGTGCTGACACGCTGTTGATACTGAGCACTGGCGCAGAGCGGTGCAGAAGCCTGGCTGCATGGCTGAAGGCGAAGTGCCTTACTGTGAAAGAGCAAATTTACATATGGTGGCGGCTCGTGTCAGGAGGATGCCGCATGTATTGATAATTTAGGAACGCAATGCGCCAGCGATGGTCCTGCGCGTGCACATACACACATGCACACACATGCACACACATGCGGACGCACACACACACACACACACACACACACACACTGCACGCACGCACGCATGCACACACACATATGCACGCATGCCTGCGCGCACAAAGTGCACATGCAGGATCAAGTACGTGCTTTATACCTGATTGCATTCACATTCATACCATGCGAGTGGTGCTCATGTTTGGGACGCCGGCTGGGTGAAAAACAAGTTGTAATGCTGCTGCGTGTCGAGCGGCGGCGCCCCAAACACACCGAGGGACCCCAGCCCCAGCCCCTGCGTCGCCTCGGGCACACTCCCGCCGCCGCTCGCCGGGACGAGAGCCGCGGCGGCGGCAACACCCCCGCCGGGGTCGCCGCCGCCGTCCGCTGCCGTTGGGCTGAAGGGGGTTGCGCAGGCGGCTGGCCGTGCTGCGGCTTGCGAGGTGGGCGGAGGCGCGATGCCGCTGTCTGCTGGGGCGCTCGCGAGTGCCGCGAGCTGCTCCATGGCGCCTTCTGGTGCTGCGAGCATGGTGGCGTCGCCCTCTGCATGCCCCGCGCCGGCCTGGTCGCCCGGCGGGACGCCTTGGGCCGCGCCTGCCAGGCCCGGCTGCTGCCCCGCGCTTAGCGGCTGCTGCCCCTGCGGTGGCAGCAGCTGCTCTCGCTGCGGCTGGTCCGGCTGCGTTTGCTGCTGCTGGTCCTGTTGTACTTGCTGCTGCTGCTGCTGTTGCTGCTGCTGCTGCTGCTGAGCTTGTCTCTCTTGCTGACGCCTCTGCTGCAGGCGCGCCGCCGCCCGCGCCACCGCATCCCGCGCCGCGACGTCCGGCGGCGGCCGGTAGTATTCCGTCAGCGGCGCCGCAATCAGATCTGCCACATCGTCCAGCAGATCACTCAGATCTGCAAGGTGATCTGGCAACTCGTAGGTGGTGGTCGACGGCCGGGGCCCATCTGCGCGAGGAGGAAGCTGCGCGGCGCCTGCCGCGGCCGAGCCTCTCGCGACCGCCGCTGCTGCCGCGCCCGCCGCGTCTGCCACCCCTGATGCATGCACATGGGAGCGCGCGCCCGAGGCGGCAGTGGCTTGCGACAGCCCCGCAGGCTCGGGGCTTGCGGTTCCGCGCGGCTGCAGAGGGGAAGCGGGACCAGGGGCTGTGCCTGAGGGCGACCTGGCAGAGGCGGTTGCTGGGACCAAATCGTCAGGGGTCGCCTCGTCGCCGTTGCCTTGCTGCTGCTGCTGCTGCTGCTGCTGCTGCTGCGCCTCCACCAGCAGCCCCTCCGGCCGCTGCACGATCGGCGGTGGTTCCCCGAAATCCGCGTCATAGCCCTGAGTCTGCTGCCGCCACGACTCTGTTTCCTGAGCCTTTGCCTCCTCTGTTTGCCCCTCCTCCTCGTCCTCCTCGTTTTGCTGCTGCTGCTGCTGCTGCTGCTGCTGCTGCTGCTGCTGCTGCTGCTGCTCCTCCTCCTGCTGCTCCTCCAGCAAAGGCGGCTCCTGTTGCTGTCCCATCGGAGGCAGCTCCTGGAACGCCGCGTCGCCGCCCTCTGATGGCTGCCAGTCCTCCGTTGCTACCGCATCTTGCTCCTGCTCCTGCTCCTGCTCCTGCTCCTCCTGCTGCTCCTGCTCCCCTTGATCATCCCATTCCTGCTCGTCCCCCTCCCCCTCGTGCGCCGACTGCCAGTCTTCCTCCTCCTCCTGCCCCCCAGCCGCAGACCCCCGCCCGCACAATCGCGGGTCGCCCAATCCCGCAGCCGGCCGCGGCGACGGTGCCGCCGCCCCGGCGGCGGCGGCCTCCCCCGCTGTGTGGGCGCTCGCTGCATGCGCCGCACCGCGGCCGCCGCGGGGAGGCGTCTGGTCGTCTTCCGGAGGGGTCGCTCCGATGACTGAGGGGTCATCCGGGTTCGAGCCCAAGCCCCCGCCCCCAACAGCGCCGCCGCCGCCCCCGCATGACTCGTGTAAGGCTTGGCCGCACCCGCTTGGCAGCTGCTGCCCCCGCTCGCCTTCCGCGGTGACGGCCGGCGCCGAGGGGCCGCCGCCCGGCGGGGCGTTCACGCGCACGCCGGCGCCGCCGCGTCGGCCGCGCGGCGCGACGGGCAGCAGCATCAGGGGGCCGCGGCGCGGGGCATCGATAGCGGAGCGCGCAGCAGGGTTGGGCTGGGACGGCACAAACTCAGCATGCTGCTCCTGCTGCGCCAGCTGCGCCTGCTTCTCCTGCTGCTGCTCCTGCTGCTGCTCCTCCTCCTGCTGCTGCTGCTGCGCCCTTCTCGCCGCCAGCCGGCTGCTGCTGCGCATCAAATCCCTCAGGCCTTCGGCTACAAGCTCCAGCAGCGCCGCCCTCGTGCCGCCGCCGCCACCACTGCCGCCCCCGCGGCCTCGTGCGCCCGCGGCGGCGGGCGCACCTCGCCTCGCCGCAGCCGGAGCAGTGCCTCGGTGCGCGAGCAGCGCCGGCCCCGGCGCTGACGCCGCCGCCGCCGCCCTCGCCGCCGCGCCCCCTCCGTTGGCCGGCGCCGCCTCCCCCTCTGCTTGCGACAGTATCACCCTTCGCCGCTTGCCGCGGCCCCTCGCGCCGGCGCCGCCGATTACGACTCCGTCATCGCTTTCGTGCCCGGGGCTCCCCGCCGGCCGGCCGCCCTCATGTGGCGGCCGGGGCGCCGGGGGTGCAGCCGGAACACCTTGAGCAGGCGACTGCTCAGCTGCCGCTGGGCCAGCCTCGCGCGGCTGTTGGTGCAAGCTGGGATTATGACGCTCAGGCCGCAACCCCTGCACATGCAGACCACCCGCCACGTGGTCTCGCTGTTCCTGCTGCTGCTGCTGCTGCTGCTGCTGCTGCTTGACCTGCTCTGCTTCCTTCCCATGCGCTGGCGGCACCGGCTCCTCCAGTTTAACCCGCTTCACACGCTTTGGGTCCTGCCCCGTGGTCTGCTGCCGAGCCGCTGCCTTTGCGCTCCGGTCCGTTGCGCCCTCAGCAGCAGGCGGGCCCGTGCCGGGCCCAGCCTCTGTCTGCCCCCCGCCCTGGCCGCCGCCTTGGGCTTGCGAGGCCTGCAAAAATGTGAGGCGGAAGCACAGCGGCGCAGTGCGCATTGCTCATCACAGAGGCGGCGCAGCATTTGCAGCTGCTTCGCTCATTTGACTGATGTGGTGTGGAACGCAATACTTGCATCCTTGAATGTCACATTGGCCTGGCCGCCCCACAAGCCTGCCTCCACGCTGCTTGCAACCACCACTTTGCCCACGAACACCTCCGCACACGCGCGCACACATGCCACCCCCACAAACACACGCCCACAAACACACGCCCACAAACACACACACACACACACGCACTCGCACACATGCATGCACATACACACGCACACACAGACACACACACACACACATGATACACACACACGTGATACATACACACACACGTGCGCGCGCGCACCTCGTACGCCTCTATGAGCGCCGCCCCTTGGGGGTGGTCCCGCAGGATCTTGGCGGCCGGGTACCACTCCGCCTCGCTTGGGGGGAACCCCTCAAAACCGACATGGTACCACACCTCCTGCGTGTGTCATCAGGGTCGAGGGTGCGCCCGATACTGCTAATGTTAGAATTTTGCCTGATTCGCCTGCCGGCGGGCGGATGCAACGGCTGCATGCGAGCAGGCTGCAGTTCTTGCAGCTCTGTGAGTTGTTCATAAACGGCACGTTAAGGGTGGGTGGCAGTTGGTAAGTGGTGCGGCGCGGCCCGGTTGTGTGTGCGCACCAGTCGGCCCTTGCGCGGCATGCGGGCCTTCGCCAGGATGACGGCGGGCGGCGGCTCTCCCAGCAGCACCGCCTCGTCGGCCGCAGACCCCAGAAGCTGCGTGAGGGGCAGCTGCGACGCGGCGAAGGGCGGCGGCGAGCCGTCCCTGTCCGGCCGCTCCTTTCCCTTCCGTTTCCGCTGCTGCTGCTGCTGCTGCTGCTGCTGTTCCTGGCTTTCGGGGTCGATCTGCTCCTCTTCTTCAAGCTGCTGTTGCTGCTCCATTTCGGTGACCTTGTGGTCGAACCCCTCGCCCCGCTCGTCCGCACGGCCCTTCTGCTGCTGCAGCTGCAGCGGAACCATCCCCAGCAGGCGCGACAGCGCCCGCCGCGCGCGCTCAACGGCGGCAGCGGCGCGCTCCGAGCCTGCGTCGGCGCCGACCGCGGCCAGCAGCGGCGCCCAGCCGATCCAGTCGGTTTCAGGGATCCGCTTGGCTTCGGGTAGTGCTGGGATGATCAGCTGGGTGAGCGCGCCCTGCAGGGGGCGGCGTGGCGCGCAGCATGTGCAGCACGCGTCCATTGAGCTGCAAGCCCAGCCACATCCGCTGCAATGTTAAGCTTTTTACTGACATATATGAGCGACTACATGTAGTTTTATTGAGCCTGGCCGCGGTTCCTGCATTTGAATGATCTGCTGTCCTGCGCGCTCACCATCAGCACGAGGTCTCGGAAGTCCTGCTCCGCCATTATCAGCCCTACATGCCCCAGATTGCAGAGCGCACAGCCCAAGCCAAACTAGAAATTCGGAGGGGATACTTTGGCCCCCTTCAGCAGAGTTTGTGGAATGCATATGCTACCTTGCAACAACGTGCAGCAAACAAACGATACAGTCGTGGGCCAGGCGGCATGGCGGGCAGGTCATGTTGTCAGAAGCGTACTGCGTATTGAGTGCCACTTCTAGTGACACGGGTGCTTCAGCATGACACCTCCACACTAGCTGCTGCACGGCATGCGCTAGATAGCCATGCTCCCGGCGATATGGTGCTGACAATGGCATACAGTGGGTGAGAACATCAGGCAGGACGCGGCAAGAGGGCCCCGCTGCGCATCATCCCCTTGTTCCAGCACACGTGCCAAGGGAATGCTCCGCTCGCATCCTCCGCAGCTGCTGCTGCTGCCCTGGTTCGAAAAGCACCCCACTCCAGATGCGTCACACGCACAGCATAAGCACTGCTTCCGTTCAAACGAGTGTCTTTCATTAACAACATTTGCAATAAGCTATGCGGCAGCACAGGTTGCTTAGGCAGACGAGCTGCAGGGGGCCGCCACCATCGAGAGCGACAGGGCCGGCACAGGCCGCGAGAACACTGCGGCTTGCTGCGACACCCCATGTCTACCCAGGTATGTGCTGCCTGGCTGCCGAGTGCTGCGCCCTGGGCCCTCCAGGGCGCGCCGGGCGCGATATCCGGGCGCTGCCCTGCCTTGCGTGCTTCCGCCTTGCCTTTCCACTCTCCCCCCCTCTAGCCAACGCCAGCTGGCGCACCTGAGCTCACCACGGCCTCATGCTGAGGGGATCAGCGGCGCGCGTGCCCCGCGCCCAGACAGCATCGAGCCGCCGCCCGCGCGCCACATGGGCGCAGCTGCTGCAACGGTGCAACGCGTCAGCAATCCAGGTGAAGCCTTCTAGATGCACACAGTCTTGATGGCTGCCTCGGCGGCCCACGCCACGTGGCAGCTGGAAAGGCAGCTTCCCTGAAATTCAGTGGCGCCGGCCTCCTGGTGTTCCTAGAGATCCCATTTCCACGCATGTCTTGTCACGCCGCCACCAACTCCCCCCTGGCACCCGGCCCCGAGCCGGCCGCGTCCTCGGCCTCCAGCGCTGCCAGATCAGCCTCGACCTCGGCCAGGTCAGCCTCGTTCAGATCAACCTCGTCGTCCGCGATCTCGTTCACCAAGCTCTCGGTCCTCTTGGGCCGCCGCGTGGCGGCCGCTGCCCCCACCCTTCCCGCAGCGACCACAGCCACCTTGTGCTGCCGCTGCTGCTGCTGCTGCTGCTGCTGCTGCTGCTGCTGCTGCTGCTGCTGCTGCTGCTGCTGCTGCTGCTGCTGCTTTGAGTGATCCTGCTGCTGGGGTGCCCATGAGGGGCTGGCAATGCAGGGTGCTGATGAGTCGCCGTTGTCTGTGCTGATCACTGCAATTGCGCCGTCCATCGCCGCCAGCTCTGGGAGGGATGTTTGTGTGGGTCAAAGGTGAAGGGTCAGGGTAAGCGCGCAGGTGTGTGTGCGCGCGCACGCACGCGCGTGTGTGTGTGTGTGTGTGCACGCGCGCGCGCATGCGCGAGCGCATGCGCGAGCGCCTGCGCACGGTTTCCCGTGTGTAAATGCGGCAGTATGTAGGTTGCGAGTTGAATCACACCTACAGTTTGTGTCCGTATGCATGCGACTGGGACACAACAGGCTGCCAGCCGTGGCACCCACAAACCGAGAAGCCCACCTGCATCCATCTGAGCCATCGCAGTGCCAAAGCTAGGGTTGGCGCGAAGCCTTTTGATGCCATCTGTCGGCGCCGGGCCCCCGCGCAGCCCCAGGCCCGCCGGCCCCCCGCCGCCGGCCGCCTGCTGCGGCGCGCCGCTCGCGCCGCGCCCCGGCCCCGCGC